GCCCCTGGTCTCTACATTTATACATCAGGGCTATATCAGGACACTGCGGGCCCCTGGTCTCTACACTTATATACATCGGGGCTATATCAGGACACTGCGGGCCACTGGTCTCTACACTTATAATTACATCAGGGGCTATATCAGGACACTGCGGGCCCCTGGTCTCTACACTTATATACATCAGGGCTATAGGACACTGCGGGTCCCTCGACACTTGCGGGCCTCCTGGTCTCTACACTTATATACATAAGCGCTTTTCTATATCAGGACACTGGGGGCCCTGGTCTCTACACTTATATACATCAGGGCTATATCAGGACATCGGCGGGCCACCGGTCTCTACCTATATACATCAGCTCTATATCCATCTGACACTGGGGACCCCTGGTCTCTACACTTATATACATCAGGGCTATATCAGGTCACTGTGAGCTCCTGGTCTCTACACTTATATACATCAGCGCTATATCAGGGTCACTGCGGGCCCCTTGGTCTCTACACTTATATACATCAGGGCTATGTATCAGGACACTGCGGGCCCCTGTTCTCTTACACTTATATACATCAGGGCTATATCAGGATACTGTGAGCCCTTGTCTCTACACTTATATACATCAGGGCTATATCAGGGACACTGCGGGCCCCTGGTGCTCTACATTTATATACATCAGGGCTATATCAGGACACTTGCGGGCCCCTGGTCTCTACACTTATATACATCAGCGCTATATCAGGACACTGTGAGCCCCTGGTCTCTACACTTATATACATCAGGGCTATATCAGGACACTGTGAGCCCCTGGTCTCTACACTTATATACATCAGCGCTATATTAGGACACTGTGAGCACCTGAGTGCTCTCTACACTTATATACATCAGCGCTATATCAGGACCTGCGGGACCCTGGTCTCTACATTTATATACATCAGGGGCTATATCAGGACACTGCGAGCACCTGGTCTCTACATTTATGTACATCAGGGGCTATATCAGGGGCCCCTAGTCACTTGCGAGCACATCTGCTGGTTCTCTACATTTATATACATCAGCGCTATGAGAGCCAGATCACTGTGGAGCCAGACTGGTCTCTACACTTATACATCAGGGCTATATCAGGACACTGTCTTGAGCCCCTGGTCTCTACCTTATATACATCAGCGTATATATCAGCGGGCCCTAACTCTCTAGTGGGCCCGGGCTATATCAGAAGAGCTCTACACTTCATATACATCAGGTCTATATCAGGACACTGCAAAATCCCCTGGTCTCTACACTTATATATATCAGGTCACTGATGGCTCTGGTCACACTATATACATCAGCGCTATCACGCCGTTTGGTCTCTAGTCTCATATACATCAGGGCTATATCAGAAACTGCGAGCCCCCGGTCTCTACATTATAAGGCTATCATCAGGCCTTGTCTATATCAGGGGCACACTATGCGGGCCCCTGGTCTCTACATTTATATACATCAGGCTATATCAGGACACCGCAGAGCCCCTGGTCTCTACCACACATATATATCATCAGGGCTATATCAGGACACTGCGGGGTTTATCAGGTCATGAGCCCTAGTCTCTACCTTATACTTATGTACATCAGGGCTATATCAGGACACTGCGAGCCCTTAGTCTCTGCTATGCACATCATATACATCAGCGCTATATGAGGGACACTGTGAGCGTATATCCCTGGTCTCTACACTATATACATACATCAGCGCGAGCAATTTGTCTTTACATTTTATGGCGCACGAGGGTTATATTAGGACATTGTGAGCCCTGGTCTCTACATCTATATAGGCATCTGCAAACATATATATCACGCTATATCAGGACACTGCGAGCACCTGGTCTCTACACTTATATACATCAGCGCTGTATCAGGACACTGCGAGCACTTGGTCTCTACACGAATATACATCCGGGCTATATCAGGACACTGCGATCACCTGGTCTCTACACTTATATACATCAGGGCTATATCAGGACACTGCGAGCACCTGGTCTCTACATTAAAAATACATCAGCGCCCTATGTGGACACTGCGAGCACCTGGTCTCTGCACTTATATACGTCAGGGCTTACTTTCGTCATGGTATAAACCACTGGTTATCTGGTCCATAATTGACGTGTTCCTGGTAAGAAATTAAAATGGCCTACTCAGTCTCTCTTGGAGTTTTGGCACCACCGGAAGTACGTCTCTATCAAGCAGTCGATCCTGCGTCGCTGCTCGCATTTCATCCATCATGTCGAACAACACTGGGTGTTCTGGAGTAGCGCACACCTAAGAAATTACAAAATGAAAATTGCATAAAAGAGTAAGCGAGCATGTTCAGTTCAACTCTCTGTACGTTGTATAAATTACTTCAGGACATACACGCTGGAAACCTTGAAGTGCTACAGGTCACAGACACGGTGGGAAGACCTGCTGTGGTTTAGGTCACAAACACGATGGGAAGAACTGCTGTGATACAGGTCACAGACACAGTGAGAAGACCTGCTGTGATACAGGTCACAGACACAGTGGGAAGACCTGCTGTGATACAGGTCACAGACACAGTGGAAAAACCTGCTGTGATACAGGTCCACAGACACAGTGGGAAGACCTGCTGTGATACAGGTCACAGACACAGTGGGAAGACCTGCTGGGATACAGGTAACAGACACAGTGGGAAGACCTGCTGGGATACAGTGCTAATCTGGGGATCATTGACGCTACTCCAGATGACTGGGCCAATTATAAACAAAGGTTTAACAATGTTGGTAGAATAGATAATAATAGCTAACCTGCTGGTCCATGCTTTGTACAACATTTCAAGATAGAGCCATACTTCTCCCCAAAGTAGGGACCATCCGTGTGAAGATGGACTTCTCTCAGAACTGGTTTGAATTCAGCGTTGATATGGAACAGAGTGGATGTGGAATCGACTTGGACCACGCCTCCTGTGACTAGTGCGCTGACCAACTCTCGCACGTATCTGGGCAATAAGGGACGTATTACTACGACACATGTATCTTACTTGGGAAGTAGCTACTACAACGATGTCATTCTTGGCTGGAAGCACAACATACACATATCTTGACAAAGACATTTCCACAAAACTACAACCCGTGAAGGTCCGGGTTAGAATATTGGCTTTCAATAACCCATGCTTGTCGTAAGAGGCGACTAACGGGATCGGGTGGTCAGGCTTGCTGACTTGGTTGACACGTCATCGGTTCCCCATTGCGCAGATCGATGCTCATGTTGTTGATCACTGGATTGTGTGGTCCAGGCTCGATTATTTACAGACCGGCACCATATAGCTGGAATAGTGCTGAGTGCGGCGTAAAACTAAACTCACTCACTCATTCATTCACAAAACTACACGATATCAAAGATTGGATGTTTTATAATCATATGAAAACTTGAATAATAGGAAGACAAGATTCGCACAGAGTGTCTTTATTTAAACGATTATTTATGTGTATATATCCGACATATTTTATGTACGCTTCTTTTTTAATTTGTAGATTGTTTTCAACAGTTTCATAACAGATAAAGGCATCCAGAAATTGCAAGCTACTTAAAATGTCATAACAAAGCAAATTCTGATGTTTCATAAATCTGCATCTGTCGACCACACACAAACTCAAAGTTATATCTTGACTTGACTACTCCGACTTGAAGTTTGTACTTCAACATCAACTTCCGATATTTACTGATTGGATTGGCTCAATCAGAGGTGTCTACGCCAGGTGTTATTACTAGGACAGTGTTAGTGTTTATCTCAGTATGATAGAAGTATGTAAATAACATCGACATGGATCCCTATCGTTTTGTCACAGGCGACAAATGGTTAAGGTTTGTGTTAGAACGTTATTCGAGGTGAGACATCAGCCCATGAGAACTCTCACTGTTGCTACCTGCTTTAACAGAAGACCCACCTCTCCTTCAGCTGCCCCTTGTCAGCGATGTCCTGTGAAGTGAGTGGTTCTTCACTCTTGTACATAGAATATCCAGGACTCCTAAGTCCTTAGCAAGGACGATAGCACTGGCCACCGCTCAGAGGCGGTGAACATGTCCACCATACGTCCGTATTCCGCCGCGTCCATGCTGGAAGGTAGTGTTAGCTGTGAAGAAAACAACAAATGTATGTACACTTTTCCGAATATGTTGCACTATCTACAGGTGTACTGGTGATTCATTCGTTTCGGACGCCGCGATTGTGATTTGCAGTTTCATACTTTAGGCTTTGCAAAACGTTATCATTGATTCGAATAAAGGTGTACCATCTCCCATAAAGTAGGTTTGGTTTGAGGAGCGTAACGATGTGGTCCGCCATCTACCATACCACAAGTTTAGTGGTAGGAGTGTAACGATGTGGGCTGCCATCTACCATACTGTGAGTTTGGTGGTAAGGGTGTAACGATGTGGGCTGGCATCTACCATACCGTGAGTTTGGTGGTAGGAGCGTAACGATGTGGGCTGCCATCTACAATACCGTGAGCTTGGTGGTAGGGGTGTAACGATATGGGCTGCAATTAACCATACCGTGAGTTGCAAGGGGTTAACCATGTGGGCCGTCCCATACCGAAGTTTAGTGGTAGGAGTGTAGCGACGGGCTGCCATCTCCATACCGCAAATTTAGTGGGAGCGATGCTGCCATCTCCCATACCGTAGGTTTGGTGGTAGGTGTGTAACGATGTGGGATACCATCTTCCTACCGTGAGTTTGGTCGTAAGAGTGTAACGATGTGGGCATCTCCCCATACCGTAGGTTTGGTGGTCACACTGACAACGGCCTTTTGATGAACCACAACATCCAAGTACTGCTTTGGCCCTCAGGGGTCTCCAGATCTAAACCCACATTTCGTGAGATGTTTTCAGCAACTGTCACATAACCCGCAACAGTTGGCACAAGCAATACAGGAAGACTGTGCGCACATTCCCCAGGCCACAGGTCTGGACTCCCATAGGAGGTTTGAGAACCTACGTCAGTTACTATAATTTCCGCCAAGTTTGAACAATTTATTATGATCTACTGAATATTTATATCATACATTAAATGCATCTAAATATCATTTCTATATTTGCAGAGTACATTTCTTGATTATTCTGTTCAAGCTGCAATTCAATGCCTCAATCGAAACCCTTCCAGAACAAAGCCACTTCCATATGGGTTCATATTCGAGATATGAATTGTCTCTAAATTATCGATAGAAAATAGAAGTTTTATGATATAAATGTACTTCCAGCATGAATGGTTGGAGCATATAGAACAAAGAACAATGTGCCTAAGTGTATCAGTATTTGCCAAGAGTACAGCTGCTATCCATGTAACCTGTAACGGTGAAGTTCGGTGGACTGATATCACTAATAAAAACAGTGTCCACTGTAACAGATGTCGGTATATGAAGGCTACATGTTTCGTCAATACAGTCGGATGAAAACTGGCCCCACTTCTTTCGTCAACACAGACTGGTGACAATTCGCCTTACATGTGTCGTCAACGCAGTTTGGTGACAACTGGCCTTATATGTCAACAGAGTCTGATGACAACTGGCCTTACATGTGTCGTCAAAACAGTCTGGTGAAAACTGGCCTTACGTGTGTCAACACAGTTTGATGACAACTGGCCTTACGTGTGTCGTCACCACAGTCTGATGACAACTGGCCTTACATGTGTCGTCAATACAGTCTGATTACAACTGGTCTTGCATGTGTCGTCAGCACAGTGATTACCCTATATGGTGGCCATGCGGACTGTGTCGTGAACACTGGCAAATGGAAATTGGCCTTACATTGTATACTATACTGTCGAATATATTGTGTTAAATTAAGCATACTGGAGGCTTTGACTGGAAAGATGACTGCACCAATAGCAAAGATGCATACAATTATATATTTTTGATTGTCAGCAAAAACCTGGATCATCACTTGTCTGGATATTGTTAAGATCAGATTAAGACATGGGAGTAGCTTGCTGGTCACATGTAAACGAACATTTTAAGGAAGCGAATCTCCAGAACTGATAGTGTAGCTGTGGTAAACAGTAACATGCAAGACAAACACCGCGTCTACCCAAGAGGAGATTATTTCCGACAGAGGTAGTGAACATTCTGCTTGTTCGTGTCACTGCGGAACTCTTTAACCAAAGTGAAACCCGCCCTTTCTATCATTGCCGTGGCCTGACGGACATTCCATGCAGCTCCCAGAACAGCAGAGTCAGCGTGCTGGAAGCTCTCAGGCACGCAACTGAAGGTACTCAGGGTATAGGGGAACAAGCATCCATGTTACCAACGTTCTCAGATAATGTTCCAGTCACTCCCACTTCAAGCAGACTGAGCTCTCCCCCAGGCTTGAGGGACCGGTATATCTCACGCATTGCTCGATCAGGGTCGGGCAGGTCATGAATGACGTCACGAACTAATATCAAATCAAATCTGTCGGTATATGTATCGGGGAGGTCATAAATGTCTTGACGTTCAAACTGGAGGTTTGCGAGGCACTTCTCAGACGCCCCTCGTCGTGCCATCTCCAGCAGCTCATCAACAACGTCGCTGGCGATAAAGGTCGTTGCCGGATACCGCTGTGCCAGATTTGAAGCTAGTATACCATACCCACATCCGAGCTCCGCTGCTGTTATACCCTGATCTGCAAGAAGGAACAAATGGGGACACCTACAGTATAGGTTCGCATCTTGTTGTTTACCTGCTGCTTCCTCAACAGTTCACCACTCAGCCTCGATGTTAACTTTCGATACTTCGTATTTACAAAACGACCCCAATATGAAGGCAGAAAACAGTTACAGGCTCACGAGTAGCCCATGCGTGTAAGGGCTACAAGTCGTCGTGCAGAGTTGCGTCCCTTGCGCACACCTGTAACATTCTCGGTTTGTCAGAGCCGTACCCGTGCTCCCCAAAGTGAGCTGATGGCCGTAAGATAAGTACAATACTGTGATGTCTTTGGCACATAGACTACCGAAACGTCACTCCTCATTGTAAATGAAGAAGTTCTTCATCCATAATTTTTGTCCTTACTTGCAATACTATGGCGTTAACCGCAACTCAACCACACCTAAAGTGCGCTGGCATTATCTTGCTGCAATGTGTCGTTACGCCCGTTCATTTTCACAAATTGTAGGCCACGATCTCGCACAGTGTTGCCACTGTAGTGCACGCCATTAAGACGGCATAAAACAATGACGACGTTGCCAACATTAACTTCTATTACCAAACTGACAGCCATCAGAGTTTTGTCAGGATGAAACTAGGTCTCCTCTGTGAACAATATATTGTCTGCTCGTGTATACTGAACTTTAATGCTATTTACTACCATGTTAGACGTGCCTAGCGGACATGAAAACATATTTAGGCGTATTTCTGGGGGATGTTGCGGTCCCTCGACCGGTTAGGTACGAACTATTATCTGGTCTCAACCCAACAATAGTCCGATCTGTTCTGACAGTTGGGTGTCGATTCCGCCATTGCACCAATCGAGTGTGTTGTTCTTGTTGAAGTGACAAGTAGACGACCAGCTAGTCAGGCGTGTTGCCTTGATAATGTCCACAAAAGGATGATGTTGACTTGGAATGAACTACGTTAGCTCCATTCCCGACAACAGCTTGCCTATGGCGCGAATACGTGACATGGCCAAGCGTTATTTGTGACTAATCAAGAGTGTTTCGTACAACTGGTGTGCATAGCGTTTCATACGTAAACATCCCAACTGTGCGCCGTGCATGAACACGCACGTACAAAGTATTAATCACGACCTCAAGGTCTTCATGAAAATGTATTGAAAATACATAGAAATACATTTTAATCGACATTATATGACGCATTTGTCTTCCGTTAGCATACACATATATTTCCAAGCAGTAATTGCCAGAAAGGTTGTGCCACTATGCAAACCGATTACCTAGCTTCCGAGGAAGTCCGGGGACAACCGCAAGTACAAAGTCTTCCAGCAGGGTGTCCTGGGCGAACACTCGTAACTCTCGCATAATGTCGAATGCGACGGGGAAAGCAGCATATCGCACACCTGGTAACCAAGCATAACATTTCCCTTCAATTGAAGCAACTGACTTCAGTTACAAACGACGATAGTACATATCATCTCATTCACAGACCAGACATGCGGAAGGGAGGCGTGCAGTTTAAAACAACATTAGGAAGGCGGTTTCCATTGACCTGTATGATCATCAGAAATTCAATCACTCACTCTTAAGTGCACAAGGGTCCAAGCACTTACAGTTCTTACAGGTATGACAAGGGTTTGAATAGCCTTGCCAAAAACTCATCTGATATACAATCCAACAACCTGCAGGTCCCTCCTCCCTGAAGCAGTCCCTGATGGCGGCGTTCTTCGCCCCGAAGTATGGCACCAAACGACTGGAGATGGCCGCTCCGGCCAGAGACTTCCGGTTGCAGGCAGGTACAAAGTACTTCCGGCTTGTGGAGTCCACTTCGATTACAGCAGCAGTCACCAGGGCACCCAGGATTTCCCGACAGTATCTATATCGACAATAGCTATATAAGCGACTGTGTGGCCTCGAAAACAAGGCGTTATTGTCACCCAAACCAGAAAGTATAACAAAAAACTTCAAAGTCAGTTAGTGAACATATACCTCTCTTTTAGCCTTCCACATGTGGAAATCTCATCTGACGTAAGAGGTACATCAGCCTCTAAGAGGATTTTCAGTATCCCAACATCTTTTGCAAGAGCAATGGCCGTAGTTGCACATGCCGCAGTGAAGAATCCACGAAGTCGTTCAGCATACGGGTCCGCCATAACACTTGGTTCTAAAAAGACACTCCAAGGAAATCAACTGTATCTGTGGAGACAAAACACCTAACAATGGTGCTCAATTAAAGGAGAATTCTAGAAAATTGCAATAAGTGACAGGGTGAAACATAGTCAACAGAAACATGTACCCCAATTTTTAATGCAAAAGTGTATTTATTTTTACTTTAATCTCGAAAAAAGTTTTTCGACTATCTGAGCTTCGGCCATTATGCAACTATAGGTTCTACAGGAAGGTTGGCTCATATTTTATTCCTTCAAGCACTCAGCGACAATACCCTTGTGTGTACGTGATTTAGTTCCACAAGTTAGCAGCGTCGTCAGTAGATACCCATCAAACTGCAAGCCGTAATGTCAGTAAGACGTGGGGACATGATGTTTTTAGTGTGTTAACAAGTGTGATATTAATCCGCTGTTAGCAATATTCCTCCGATATCACGGCGAAGCGTCATATATTGTACCCATGTGGGGAATTGAACTGGCGACCAGCGAACACTTTAAATACTAAGCTAGCCCACAGTCACCTATAATCAAAGACATTTCCGCTGAAATCGACGGTACGATTCCGACTTTATAAGGTTTATGAGTTACTATCAATACCTGATGATCCCAGGTGAGGATTTTCTGCCACACCGGTGGAAGCCGGCACAAACGGGTTCCAAGAAAATTAATTTGTTCCGGCCCAGATTTAGGCCAGTAAACTTCAACATGCCTTCAGTCGGTAATCTAGACTGATTGCAAAGAAAACACGTGTGTTTCTTGCAAATGGCGTGTAAACCAGATTACTATATTAACATACAGCTTGGCGCCTTCAGCTTGCATGACACCCATGAGGTGGAAGGGGCTACTACACCCGGGTAGCTGAAATCCCGCATACACAAGGGGCGAATATAGGTCAAAACAGTGACCTTGTCCGGTTTGACCTCGATACAGTGAACTGTCATTGTATAAAGTTGTGAGATTCCTATGCTGTGCATAGACCATGCGTTGCTACAATACACAGACTTTTTTTACACTGTTATCTCCAACTGGCCCAAACACGACCCTGCCATAGCGGGAGGTGGACGCACGACAGACTCATCAGTCTCATGGACTACATTTCAGTGTGACAGTTTGGCATCTCTTCAGGTTCCGGCTGGTAACAGTCTCTGACAAGTATTCCCACTGTATGTTTAGAGCACTAAAGTGTTGGCACACTGATATATACATAACGCCTCCCTACCTGAAGCTGCAGGAGACACGGAGGATTTGAAGCGACTCGAAACACACCTGTCGGGTATTCAAAGGGAGGTTATTCAATGCTGTCAAGAGTTAGCTTCCTTTAGTCGACAACATTTAATGTTTGAAGCATCCTGAAAATAACACGCCCAGCAACCATATCTCCATTCTTTAGGTTACACAACACCAAATGTCTTCCCATAGACTTCTATAGTAACCTTTTATTTTTTTTAAATTATCCAGGCTATCAACAGCCATTCCAGGTACACATGGGTACAGTCAGGCCTTTAAACTACAATAAAACACAATTTCTGGCCAAATTGTCCGGCTCATTTTCCCAGCACAGGCAGCGGGACACATCCATCCCAGTTCCGCACCAAATGTCACCTACTGGAACATATCTGTACACGCAATAAGCATAAGTGATGGTGATAAAAATGACAGTACTAAATACTTAAAATTGTGGTCAGTTTTAATTACTGGATGGATTTGCTTTTAAAAAGCATAAACATCTCACACTATTTCATCCAATCACAGCTGTCACATGTCTCTGTCTCTTCAGTTATTTACATACGGTTCTCGCTCAGGGAGCATGTGATTCTGATTTAGTGTAGTGGAACCTTTAGTGATCAACACTGCCTTACAATAAATTACATCCTATCTTACTAAACTATCCAGCTAAATATCCCTTCTAATGACACTGCCGAGCGATATGATTGCATCTAATGACACTTCCCGGTGATGATCCCGTCTAATAACACTGCCCAGTGAATGAACCTGTCTAATAACACTGTCCAGTGAATGAACCTGTCTAATAACCCTGCCCAGTGAATGAACCTGTCTAATAACACTGCCCGGTGAATTAACCTGTCTAATAACACTGCCCAGTGAATGATCCCGTCTAATAAAAATTTCTAGTGAATGATCCCGTCTAATAACACTTCCCAGTGAATGAACCTGTCTAATAACACTGTCGAGTGAATGATAACGTCTAATGATAGTAGACCGCTCCGTGATGTTGTGGTTAGAGCGTTCGCCCGGATACAACAAGGGTACAACAAGGACTGGTCGGCTCGGAGTCAGTACAATGTGTCTGAGCGGGGTATTCATGCTTCACTGCGGTATGGTATCTCAGTGGGCTAGCACAATAAAACCAGCTTCAGCCTGGGCTAGTACAAGCAGCCGCACATACACATACACACGCATGCACGTCGTCATATGAGCGAAATATTCTCAAGCAGGACATTAAACCCAATTTCACCTCACCACCTCTAATAATACTGCCCATTCAATGATCTCGTCTAATGATACTGCCCAATGAATGATCAGTGCTACTGATGCTGCCCAACGAATGACAGTAGACATACCTACAGTTCCTTCACACCCAGTGTGGTAGACATACTGACTGTTCTCTTCACACTCAGTGTGGTAGACATACTGACAGTTCCCTCACACCCAGTGTGGTTGACATATGTATAGTTCCCTCACACCCGGTGTGGTAGACATATGTACAGTTCCCTCACAGCCGGTGTGGTAGACATATGTACAGTTACCTCACAGCCGGTGTGGTATGCATGCCTACAGTTCCCTCACACCCGGTGTGGGAGACATACTGACAGTTCCCTCACACCCGGTGTGGTAGACATACTGACTGTTCCCTCACACCCAGTGTGGTAAACATACTGACTGTTCCCTCACACCCAGTGTGGTAAACATACTAACTGTTCCCTCATACCCAGTGTGGTAGACATATGTACAGATTCCTCACACCCAGTGTGGGAGACATACTGACATTTCCCTCACACCCGATGTGGTAGGCATGCCGACAGTTCCCTCACACCATGTGGTAGACATATCGACATTTTCCTCTCACCTGATGTGGTAGACATGCCTACAGTTCCCTTACGCCCAGTGTGGTAGACATGCTGTCTCACGTTTGATTGCTTTTTTTCCCACTGAAACTTGTTTCTGGTCCACATGTTTATTGAATAAAATTTTAAACATCCAAAGGATTTATCTTCCCTGAAAAGCGCGGGAAATGTTCCTGTGGCGAATATGATCACACCTGTCTGCTTGTTTCACTGTTAAATGTATTCTAAATTTCCCAGTTTTGAGTTTCTAAATTCAATTTTAATATGGGCAAATCTAAAGTATCTAAGTGCATTTCTTCTTTGTCTTTAGGCATATATTACTTGCAGTAAATTTGGCATACGTATGCCTCATCACGATCCCTTATGATCAGTGTTGGGAGTGAGTTGGCCTGGATGTCACCTGCAGTGGTGCATGTTTACACACTGGAATGGATGTGACCTACAGTGGTGGTCTGGATGTGACTTGCAGTGATGTGACCTGCAGTGGTTTCCTGGGAGTGACCTGCAGTGCTGGCGTCGATGTGACCTGCAGTGGTGCATGTTACCACTCTGACCTGGGTGTGACCTACAGTGGTGGCCTTGATGTGACCTGCAGTTGTGGCCTGAGTTTGACCTGCAGTGGTGGCATGGATGTGACCTGCAGTGGTTGTTTGGGTGTGACTTGCAGTGGTGAAAGTTCCTACACTGGCCTTGGTGTGACCTGCAGTGCTTGTCTCGATAAGAACTGCAGTGGTGACTTGAGTGTGAACTGCAGTGGTGACTTCAGTGTGACCTCCAGTGGTGGCCTGGATGTGACTCCAGTGGTTGCCTGGATATGACCTGCAGTGGTGGCTTGGATGTGACCTGCAGTGGTGACTTCAGTGTGACCTCCAGTTGAGGCCTGGATATATCTGTAGTGGTGGCCTGGATGTGACCTGCAGTGGTGGCGTGGATGTGACCTGCAGTGGTCGCCTGGATATGTCTGCAGTGGTGGCCTGGCTATGTCTGCAGTGGTGGCGTGGACATGACCTGCGGTGGTGGCCTGGATGTGACCTGCAGTGGTGGCCTGGATGTGACCTGCAGTGGTGGCCTGGATGTGACTGCAGTGGTGGCATGGATGTGACCTGCAGTAGTGACTTCAGTGTGACCTCCAGTTGTGGCCTGGATATATCTGTAGTGGTGGCCTGGATGTGACCTGCAGTGGTGGCCTGGATGTGACCTGCAGTGGTGGCCTGGATGTGACCTGCAGTGGTGGCCTGGATATGTCTACAGTGGTGGCCTGGATGGGACCTGCAGTGGTGGCCTGGATGGGACTTCAGTGGTGGCCTGGATATGACTGCAGAGGTGGCCTGGATGTGACCTGCAGTGGTGGCCTGGATATGTCTGCAGTGGTGGCCTGGATGTGACCTGCAGTGGTGGCCTTGATGTGACCTGCAGTGGTGGCCTGGATATGTCTGCAGTGGTGGCGTGGATGTGACCTGCAGTGGTGGCCTGGATGTGACCTGCAGTGGTAGCCTGGATGCGACTGCAGTGGTGGCCTGGATGTGACTTCAGTGGTGGCCTGGATGTGACCTGTAGTGGTGGCCTGGATATGTCTGCAGTGGTGGCCTGGGTGTGACTTCAGTGGTGGCCTGGATGTGACTTCAGTGGTGGCCTGGATATGACTGCAGTGGTGGCCTGGATATGTCTGCTGTGGTGGCCTGGATATGTCTGCAGTGGTGGCCTGGATGTGACCTGTAGTGGTGGCCTTGATGTGACTGCAGTGGTGGCCTGGATGTGACCTGCAGTGGTGGCCTTGATGTGACTGCAGTGGTGCCTTGGATATGTCTGCAGTGGTGGCCTGGATGTGACCTGCAGTGGTGGCGTGGATGTGACCTGCAGTGGTGGCCTGGATATATCTGCAGTGGTGGCCTGGATGTGACCTGCAGTGGTGGCCTGGATATGTCTGCAGTGGTGGCCTGGATGTGACCTGCAGTGGTGGCCTGGATATGTCTGCAGTGGTGGCCTGGATGTGACCTGCAGTGGTGGCCTGGATGTGACTGCAGTGATGTCCTGGATGTGACCTGCAGTGGTGGTATGGGTGTAACTGCAGTGGTGGCCTGGATGTGACCTGCAGTGGTGGCTTGGATGTGACCTACAGTGGTGACTTCAGTGTTACCTCCAGTGGTGGCCTGCATGTGACTCCAGTGGGCCTGGATATGACTGCAGTGGTGGCCTGGATGTGACCTGCAGTGGTGGCCTGGATATGTCTGCAGTGGTGGCCTGGATGTGACCTGCAGTTGTGGCCTGGATGTGACCTGCAGTGGTGGCCTGGATATGTCTGCAGTGGTGGCGTGGATGTGACCTGCAGTGGTGGCCTGGATGTGACCTGCAGTGGTGGCCTGGATGTGACTGCAGTGGTGGCCTGGATGTGACTTCAGTGGTGGCCTGGATGTGACCTGCAGTGGTGGTCTGGGTGTAACTGCAGTGGTGGCCTGGATGTGACCTGCAGTGGTTGCTTGGATGTGACCTACCCTGGTGACTTCAGTGTGACCTCCAGTGGTGGCCTGGATGTGACTCCAGTGGTGGCCTGGATATGACCTGCAGTGGTTGCTTGGATGTGACCTGCAGTGGTGACTTCAGTGTGACCTCCAGTGGTGGCCTGGATGTGACTCCAGTGGTGGCCTGGATATGACCTGCAGTTGTGGCTTGGATGTGACCTGCAGTGGTGACTTCAGTGTGACCTCCAGTTGTGGCCTGGATATATCTGTAGTGGTGGCCTGGATGTGACCTGCAGTGGTGTCGTGGATGTGAGCTGCAGTGGTGGCCTGGATGTGACATGCAGTGGTGGCCTGGATATGTCTGCAGTGGTGGCCTGGATATGTCTGCAGTGGTGGCCTGGATGTGACCTGCAGTGGTGGCGTGGATGTGACTTAAGTGGTGGCCTGGATATGACTGCAGTGGTGGCCTGGATATGTCTGCAGTGATGGCCTGGATATGTCTGCAGTGGTGGCCTGGATGTTACCTGCAGTGGTGGCCTGGATGTGACCTGCAGTGGTTGCCTGGATGTGACCTGCAGTGGTGGCCTGGATATGTCTGCAGTGGTGGCGTGGATGTGACCTGCAGTGGTGGCCTGGATGTGACCTGCAGTGGTAGCCTGGATGTGACTGCAGTGGTGGCCTGGATGTGACTTCAGTGGTGGCCTGGATGTGACCTGTAGTGG